CATCGATAATTACAATGCATTTTTAAAACTGATATATAGGTTTTTTTTTTCACAACTGTAAATTTTCACTCAACTTGACTCTAGTTTCTTTGCTCTCACAAACTGTTTAGCTGGTACTGACAAGTTTGGTCATTAGTACAGGTTTAGTTTAGGTTTAGAACTGCATTTTCAGACAGAAATGTCTTGCCCAATCACACAAAAGCAGTGACCATTGACACTTGCAGTAACCCAACCTAAAAATGTCATATTTCTAACTGTTTTCTGCAGAATGGATCAAAAATCATATTATATTTCAAACATGTATCAGTTCCAATTGGATTATATTGTTTAGGGCATCTGGTTTAAAAAGCTTGTTCAGGGTTATAATGCCTAAAGTAAAGGAAGAAAACTTTTTGCTGACTAATCTAAGGACAGTAATCCTTTGTAATGCTAATCTATGTGCTCTTGTAGCTGCCTTTAAATGTTAATGAATTAAGATGAAGAAAGTTAACAAAGAATATTTAAAAGCATATAATAGTCTAAAATGTTAATTTGAGCTGCATGAGAAACTTTTCTAATTAAACTTTTCAAATTGGACTCTGTGATAGAGAATTTACACATAAGTCTTAATGTTGACAGTTGAATCCCTGAGTCCTTGAGCAAGACTTTTTCTTACTTTGATTCTGAATGAAAGAATGAGCCTCACATAAGTTCTCTCATTTGGGTTGCCAGTTCCAAATGTGAAATCCAGTTGGTTTAAACCTAAATGCCTCTCTCTGATCTGAGCTTTCACATGAGACATGACCTGTCCACATACGGAGAATGAGCTGTTGATCTTGGATGTGTCCTCAATCTGCAGGTTAAAGAGGCAGTAAAATCTGTTTTGTCCCACTACAGATATATTGTGACAGCAGCAGCAGCTCTTAGGGTGAAGATGAGATTGATGTCTGCTGTCTGCTACTAAATACACAACATTTTATTGTCTGGAAAACAGAGAACTCTGCTCTGGTCTCTGATAGTTGCAAAAGCAATTATAAACTCATTGAGGTGAGTAATTAGGATGCTAAGAATCGATTAGGTAATTGTGCAATAAATCTGAACTAATGCAAATCTTTTTAAATAACAAGTTTTGTTTTTCACATTGTTAAGATAGTAACAATCAGGTACAGCACTTTTAAAAACTGACCCCTTTTCAGAGCTTTAACTATGTTATAGTTATTTACTATTCTCATTTACTCTCTTAAAGTTGTACTTGAAGTGAATTGTGCATGTCTGAGAAATCTTTAAGCACTTATTTTCAAGACGCCATATTGCTGATCAACTCTCATTTTCAGCTTCACTGGCACACGCCCACCTCTCTGTACTTATGTCATTCTCCAATTTTAGTTTTTAAATCGTTGATACACAAAAGATTCCGCAGCGTTATCTAGTCATTTTGGTAAAAATGGCAAAAAAAATCTGCATCTTGCGAGCGTGATGTGCCTCTACGCATCAGAGTTGCAGACTCTTTGTTGTGATTTACACGACATCAGCTCCCATTGGGCACCACTGTTTTCTAACACAGAAGTGAGAGGACGTGAAATGAATATTGCAATTTAAAATGTGCAAATCATAAAATAATGACCCATAGATGTTGTGGATCCACAGGTATCATAGATGATAACTGTGGTGGATCCCTCTGCCACCACTCCATAGTGTCAGTATTATTTAATTTTCATTATTATTTACATTAAGTTAATTACACTACACATAATTTAATTCCGTTATTTAGACTTACGTTCTAATTTGAGTGCACGCATTTTAGTTAATATAAGTCTAATTTACTTACACTTGTTCTTTTTGTTTTTTTGAGCACCGGACGGAGGACCCTGGGAGAGACCATCAGGACTCAGCAAAGGGGGGAGCACTATTTAGTTTGTTTTACTAAGTTAATTTGTTTAGTTTGTGTTAAGGTCACATTATTATCACTTATGAGTTTCTGTATTATAATTATTTGCTTTTTTGTTACTTTGATTAAGTTATTGGTTTAGTTAATTAGTGTAATTCCTCCCTCTTGTGTTTAGCTTTAGTTGGTCCTCAGGTATTTAAACACACCTGTTCCTTTGTCTGGTTGGGTTCGTTTTGTTCTGTTCAGTTTGATTTTGAGTTACCCCAGTTGGGCCCAGCTTTTTTGTTAATAATTTGCCTAATTTGAGCCTTTGTTAAATTATATCTTTTTTGGCTTTATTAAATTTAAACTTATTTCTTATTTTTATACCTTGTCTTTGCCTTTCTGTTTGGTCCACTACAATAACTATGGCGTGGGCTCAAGCACAATATGTCTGCTTTAAGGCACTGGCAGTGATTTTAGTTCCTTTTTAAACCAGTAAGAGACTGACACAAACTTTATTGATCCACAAGGGAAATGACTTGGACACAGTAGCTCACACATCACAATGTATGAAATTATCATAAAAAGAGAAAGGCATATTTATATAAACATATTTGTACAAGTAAAAATACAATATAGAATAAAGTAAGAAACATATATCTCTCATTTCTGTACAAGAGGCTGTACGAGGACAGACTACATCCCCTCCCTTTAAATTCCCCCTGTAATCTGTGCGTTGGGTCAAGTCGACCCTGTTAAATTGTTTGTTCACATTAGTTGCTTGTTATCAGTATATTTCATTATGTTGCACCCTCTGGCTGAATGGTGGACACACTCTGGATAACCACAGGTGAGTTTGCACTTCACTGAGCATTAGACTTCCCATTACTGTGATAGCGAGCGCTGAGAGCTGCTCTGATTGAAAACGGAGCACTAGCCTTAATGAAAACACAGGCCTTTCCCCACAGACCGCAGAGAAGGACAAGCTAACTTTATTTTGACTTTACTGACATTATATGACCAACAAGCAGCTGTAAAACGCACATACTTTTACAAACTTTATTAATGAGTAATTTTGTGTTATTTAAAGGTGCAGGCTTCTTGTCTCCATGGATACAACATGGATAACAAGTCCTCACGACCTAAGCCCCAGCACCTGCCTCCAGTGTCTATATGCTGTCCATGACAATGAGGAAAACTTGTGCCAATGTCAGTGGTTCTCACTTTTCACATAACGTTCCACCAAAGAAAAGATATGGCTTTGAGAATACCACCACACCTTCCCAGCTTTTGCCCCACCCAGAATTGGCAGGCGGGTCTGTTGTATCCTGGCTGCAGGACCTGGAGGCTGCCTGTCCATATTTTGGGGTCGATTCCAACTCCCTCTTCTCCCCGGTTGCTGGTCTGGAGATTATGTCTGTACTGAGATTTTGTCATATGTGGGGTTTCTTTTTTCTTCATGTACTAGTTCCAGATAGTCAGAGCCCTGTATTCCAGACAGTTTCCAGATTCCAGATAGTTAATTGTAAAAAAAATTGTAGTAGTAATTGTAGTTTAAAAAAAAAACAGAATGTAATCTCAAGACCAAACCATTTAGCTTAGCTTTGTGGGGCACTCTATAAATAAAGTTTGATTGATTGATTTATTGATCTGAATTATGGAAGGAGCTTGATCCACAATTTGAGAAACACTTTTACGGCACAGGCATTGGTAACCCATGTTGGTTTATCATTGTAGTACCACTTTTAAAACTGTAAAAGTGCACACTGGTTCTTTTAAAGGTCCTATATTATGCAAAACTGACTCTTGTTGTTACCTCCTCAAAAACACAGGTGGAACTATTTTGTTTCATTCACACATGTTTGAGTAACACTTTATTATGAGTCTGTCTACATCTCCAAAGCTCAAAATGCTCTGTTCCACCTTGTGATGTCATGAAGCGGTAGTTTTCAAGTCAACAGCTACCTTTTACCTTTTGTTTCGTAGAGATCGGCAATTCCAGGGCTGAAATGATCCAAATGATTCTACTGAAGAAGGTGTATGAGTTTAAAAACACAGTGGAGCACTTCCTGTAGTGCCACATGCCATCACGAGGTGGAACAGAGTGTTTTCTTTGTGTGAGAACTCAGCCTAAATATGTATAGTTTGTGTTTTAAACGTGTGTGAATGAAACAAAACACAACTCCAGGTTTGTTTGTGATGAGGAAACAGAGTAGAAGGTTAGGATATGGTATTAATAAAGCTTGAGTCATACTTAATAAAAAATATTTGTTCATTAATTCACATAATTTGTCTTTATTTTGGTTCATTTAAGTGCTAATATAGCCTTTTATTTATGATTATGATTATTATTTGCTTCATTTTTAGTAATACAACTCTCGACAAAAAAAGCAACAAAGGCCCATTCTTCTCAATTATAGAGCCCTGTCCCTTTGAGATAACCCACAACCCCAGCCAGGACTTTATCTCTCATCAATAACACCACTCTTTTGTATTACCTCCTCGTTTTTTGGTTCGTGCGTCACCGGCGTGCCATAAAGACGCACGGAGATAGGACGCACGCTGGTTTCTGCCCACTCTCCCCTGGCTCTGCTCTGTCCTCCAAGACTCGCGCAGTGCCTTCCTATTACTGCCCCCTGTCCATCTTTATTATTAGTCCAAGCTCCTCCCTCCTACCTGTAAATCTCCCCGCACTCTCTCTCTCTCTCTCTCTCTCTTTCCCCCCTCCCTCGCTCCCCCTCCTCTCTCCGAGTCCCGCTTCTGTGACACGCTTCTCCTCTCTCTCTCCAGCTGGCCGCTTCGTGCCAGGCGCTGCTACGGGCTGCCTGGGGATCACACCGACAACCCGGAGACCGAACGAATGGACGCGGGAGACACGGCGGACGTCCACAACAGCAGCGGCAACCCGGCGACACCGCGACACTGCCCGTTCTTCACCGTTTTACCACACGGACACGCGCGCGTAAAAGCGATCCGTGTAGTCTCGTCTGCTCCACATTGATCGTGATATCTTTATTTACTGCTTCGACTGCTTCACGGTTGCTTTGAGGGGGGATCGATTCTCGTGCTGCTGCCCGTGCCCTGAATGGGAGAAGACGGCTAAGACAGGAGAGAGGTGGCCTGGCTGAGTGACGAAACGGCGAGAGGGACATACTGATATATTTAGCTGGTCGTGTTGTGTTTAGCGTAATATTAAATAAGAGTGGAGGCTGCACGCACGTCATACGTCTTGATCATGGCGTGAAAGAGCCAGTTCCTGAGCCATGGAAATCGTTATTGCGGATTTAAATGTCTCCCTACTTTGAGGACACGCTCGTTTTTTGACGCTAGTTGAATTGCGCCGCAAAACTGTCACGAATTTGCACAGAAACTCGATTCGGGTGGGTGAGAACAGAGCAAAACAGCGAGGATTGGGGGATTTCTTTAGCAATATGGCTGGTGAGTGGGGCTGGGGACGCTGGCACAGGCTCTCCACGGCTCCTCAATGCTAGCTGAGGCGGATGGCACCGTCCCCCATGGCAGCGACAGCTCTATGAGGACAAGCAATATTAATAACAATATCAATCCGGACTCGTCGATCTTAATCTCCAAGATGGAAGACGTGGTCATCCCGTTCTCGTCCGAGGTGCCCTGCGACAATAACGGGCAGCGCATGTGGTGGGCATTCCTCGCCTCCTCCATGGTGACGTTCTTTGGGGGTCTCTTCATCATACTGTTATGGAGGACACTCAAGTATCTGTGGACCGTGTGCTGTCACTGCAACATCAAAAACAAGGTATGGATGTGAACACGCACAGACGATCACACTTTGCACGATTACATGGCCAGGAAAAATGTATTTAACCAGAATAATGAGATAAACCCAAATAATTTGATCTGGTTTTGGTGTGTTTTCATGCACAAGAGAAATTGGATTATCAAAAACACTTGGGCAAAGTGTTTCAAACATTAATATATTGAATTTTAATTTTTGCCTCTTCGTTTTTGCATAATTCCACTCAAAACCTGCACAGGTGAGAACAGTCCTCCAACTCCAATTCCTCACATGACACCTAAAGACATAGGCTTCCAATAATCCAATAACTCCAGAAATCAGATAACGATCGGATTTCTGGCGTGCATGCAAACAAAGCCAATTCTTTAACATTTTCGTATCCCCTCATCCCACATTGTAACTAGTTCACATTAGTGCACTGGCCTGCACATATAGGTTAGCCTTTCATGCTTAAGTGGGTTTGATATCTGCATCTCCACAGCCTGTCGAAAGCGTCCTTTGCTTCCCCCGGACAGGCTTGTATCTTCTGTGTTTACGTACACCCACACTCAGCTCTGGCACATTTGAGTAGGACGAGAGGAGAGCAAGAAATGAAAAAATGCAATATTCTGGTACCAACAGTGCAGTGTAGGACAAACTATAGACTAGGAAGAGGCATTTGAAGTCTTTCCTGTGCTATGTTAAATTTGATATTCAGGTTTTATAGGTACTGTATTACGTAAAATTGATTTTTGTGAGCTTTAAGGCGTGTTAGAATGTTGTTCCCTCGTTGAAAACATAGAGATGTATTTTGTTTCGTTCGGACATGTAATCCTGCATTATTAGTCTGTCAACATTTCCAAAACTCAAAATGCTCTGTTCTACCTTGTGATGTCATGAAGCGGTAGTTTTTAAATTAACAACTACCTTTTACTTTCTGTTTAGTAGAGATTGGCAATTCCAGAGCTGAAATTATCCACATGATTCTAGTGAAGGTGCGTGGAGTTTAAAAACACAGGGGAGCACTTCCTACATTACAACATGACATCACAAGGTGGAACAAGGTGCGGAGTGTTTTCCATTTCAGAGAAGAACTTTGGAGGATTTGTGTGTTAAACTTGTGTAAATGAAATCATAAAATGGCGTAATATGGGCTCTTTAAATTATATACTACAAATTTTCACATTTTCTGCAGAAGTTTGACATCTTTGGCTCTTGTAATGTTTCAGAACGGTTCATTTCACTTTCTCCTCTGCAGTGAGTTTGCTCAAATTGACACCTGTCTCTTTGAATGCTTGGTTGGCTTCACCGGAGCTAAACAATTAGGTTTCCACGGCGACCAGCTCTTGCCAAATTATGCAACTCGAGCCCCATCCCTTAAGTCCCACGATTGGATGGGCCAATTTTGCGGAAAGGGAAACGTGTAAAGTAGGTTGTGTTGAGTAGTAATGGTGGTTATCGTTTGTCCTTATGTCCGGGAGTGTGTCTGTATGTATTTCTATGGTGGAGTGTTCATTAGTTACCATGGTGACACAGTGCTTACACATTAGCAGTAACTACCAAAAAACTTTTTAGAGAGTCTGAAAACTCAAGACAAAATACAAAATGAATTGGAACACATTTTCAGGAGCATGTGGACTTTTTTAAGCGCACAAATCAGCTCATCTGTTGTAGTCTCTTTCTGGTCAAATTGTGTTAAAATAAAGCTCAGATTAAAGTCTAATTTGAGGAACAGAGCTTCAAACAAAGTAGTGCTTTGAGTTAGCTTCACAGCCCCAGGGAATGTTGAGCATCAAGCGGCAGAATATCAATTGATGAACAGCGACACATAGGTTTATTATAGCACTTTCCTATATACTGAAAAGTGCAGTAAGGTGGCAGAAGTGTCTAGCTCAAGGGTACGGAAACAGCAGGCAATCTAATACTATCACTCCAAATGTAGGCCTACTAGTTGGCTTACCTTAAAGGGCCCATGTTACGCTATTTTTAAATCTATGTTATAATTTCCTCACCACAAACATACCTGGAGTTGTGTTTTACGTCATTCGCACTTTGTTCCACCTTGTGATGTCATGTGGTAATACATGATTTGCTCCACTATGTTTTTAAACTTCACATACACCTATAATCAGTAGAATCATTTGGATAATTTCAGCCCTGGAATTGCTTAATCTCTACTGAACTGAAGAAAAAAGTAGCTGTTAACTTGAAAACTATCACTACATGACATCACAAAGTGTAACAAAGCATTCTGAGCTTTGGAAATGGAGACAGACTAATAATAAAGGATTGCTCAAATGTTTATGAATGAAACAAAGCACAGCTCCAGGTATGTTTTTGATGGAGTAACAACATTCTAACATGGCTAAAAGCTCAAAATTATCAATTTTGTGTAACATCGGACGTTTAAATTTCGGTATATTTAGCGTTATGTAATTGGGACTTTGGGCTGAATGTGTTGGTGACTGACAAGAAGCTTCGTCCAGTATCTTGCAAGAAGGTTTCAGGTTGAATTCCCAGACCGCATGGGGCCTTTGCGTGTGGGGTTTGCATGCTCTCCTTGTGTCTGGCTCCCATGGGTGCTCTGGTTTCCCCTAAAACATGTGGGTCAGCGTGGCCTATGGCAACGGGACACCTCAGGACAAACCCACACACTGACCCTCTACGTAATTTTGTTGAACTGGTCTTATGTAATTACAGATAAAACTGTAAACGAATAGCATGCTGCATTTTGGCAAGTCAATTACCAATCATTTATAAAACAGATTGTAGAATTGTTAATATAATTATGAGGTTAATTGTTTATTAAAGGTGCATTGTGTAACTTTTCTGGTGGGGGGTCTGTCAAAGGTGCTTTTGCTTTGTGTGGAATGTTTCACAGTAAGGTATTAAACCTTTCTATCTTCATGGAAACCAAACTAGACGAGGTTATAGGTCAGATCTGTGGAGATCCTGCTCACTGTCAGAACGCCTATTTTTCTAGGTATTTTTTTAGCTATAAAAAAATTGTAATTTGAGTTGGAGCAATTATGAAATTGCAAAGGCTGCCATTATTGAGATAAGATAAGGGAACTTTATTTGTCCCACAGTGGTAAAATTCCAGTGTTGCAACACAGAGATTAAGAACAGCAAGAGAAGAAATAGAATGCCCTCTGCAAGGAACAAAATAGTTTTTATAGAATATCTTGTACCTGTAGTTTAGACCTCTATAAACATGTTTGGAAATTCATGAGATTCTTGTATTAGTTCCTCAGTTCATATTTCAGTCTTCTCCCAAATGTGACTGCCCCTGGGGTGGTTTACAATGTTCACTCTGAACAGAACGTTTACTGCAAGTCTAAAAACGATTACAACAATTGTTACGAAAAAAACAAAGTTAGATTTAATTTGACCAAATTCACGTAGCACTACTGCGTAAAAACGAAAAGTGTAGTAGCAGTGGTACTAGTTGTTGAAGCATTGAACTTAATGAAAAGGTGGGCGTGGACCCAAAGTAAATAGTGAGGGAGGGGTACTGGGGTAGGGGTACGTAAGAGTGGGCTCTGGTCATGGGGGGTGACGGGGGTGTTGAGTCCAGCGTGGTGACCAGGAGCAGGGCTGTAACAGTGGTCCATATGGAGAGCACTGGGGCTGGGACAGACTGCAGCCTGTACGAAGTCTGTTTGACCCAAAACGCTTCATAAATGTTATTGGATCACATAGTAATATTTTTAAAGGAAATAATTTAAGAAAATATATCATTTACAACTATGGGTGATTTAGAATTTTTTGTTGCATTATCAGAGTATTAATATTCTAAAACAGTAGAATTTCTGAGTGGTTTGGAGTGTAGGATTTGTTCTTCCAGAAGAACATTTTCAGTTAAGAAAACATTTTGTGAATGTTCGTTTGAAGGCCTTAAGTACAAATTTGTTTGTAAGAACGCTTCATGAATGAGGCCCACTGAATTTGAATGCGCTGAAATCTAGTAACAATGCTACAGACTCAAAATAAACATTTAGAGACTTTCTACTGTTGGTTTCACATTTCCACCCACATAATCCTACACACTGACACTCGGGTTAGCTCAGATGCCCTTCCATGGTGTATCTCTTCTTTCACACTTCATTCATACTTCAAACCTCTAGAGTACTGAGCTAATGGTACTTGTTATATTAAGAGTATGTAGTACTAATTTAAGCCTGGCGTACAGAGGTGACTTGCATATAAATGTACCGGGGATGGCCTACATTAAGCATTGTGCATCCAGGAGCTGCGTGTGTACGGCTACATGTGAGACGCACGTGCTTTTTATAGAGCGAGGACCCCAGGACGCACACGGGTCTAGGGGCTAACATGCTATAGTGCACAGTCAAGGCCACAGAGAGAAAAGACATTCTTAGTGCTGGAGAATATCACAGGTTTGAGGTGCAGAATGTAATAGAGTTGGAATTTGACATGGTTCTTCTTATTATTATTAAAAGCGCTGTACCCAGTGTTGAAAAGTAATGAAAATACGTACACTGAATACCAATTTTGAGCAACTGTACAGTAACGGTACTACAGAATACAGTTACAGCTACTTCCTTAAATTAAAAAGAATACATGGTGATACTTTGTCATGTAATTTTAGCTTTGTACTGCAAGTTAGTTATGTGTAATTAATGTGTTTTTCTTTTCTAATTAGACGTATGTTAATGCACAACAAACAGGGCAACAGAAATAAAGCCATTTGTAACACTATATAGTATTTTTTTACTAAAATAATGCAACTTGGTGTAAAAGTATTCCAAGTATTGAGAATACAGTACTCTGATTGGCCGATATAACAAAATACGTTACAAAATACATTTTAATTCAGGTATTCAGTATTCTGTAAGTAAATACATTTTCAAAGTATTCTTCCCGTAACTGGCTGTACCTGATAGTTACCGCATTAAAACTGTGAAATACAGAGCTGGTTTATTTGTGGTTTGCAGTTGTCCAAACTTATTAATGTATTCCTAGCATCCTAATTAGTCTGGCGATGAGTTTCCAAGTTT